CATCAGACCGCACTTCCAAAGGTGAAAAAAAAAGTTGTTTTAAATTTACATATATTTTTAACTCACTTTTGAGGGGTAGTTTTAATTTGATGTAATGTGATATAGAGAGAGGGGGAGGAGGTGTATGACATATATGGTGGAAATTAGAAAAGGAAGAGAGAGATAGGAATAATTTTAAATCTATTTTTTATTAAGATATTTAAAAGTAAGGGAGGTGGGGGTGTGGTTGAACCAGACATTGACCTATTTAATAAGTCGTCTCACAGTAAACAAGATAAAGAGAAAGAAAGGAAGTAAAGAATAAGAAAGTAGAGGGGGGATGTTGGGTTTGGGAAAGAAATGGAAAATTGAGTTTGTAAAAAATGAAGGAAAGGAAAAAGAAAAGGGTAAATTTACATATATTGGCATATTATGGTTAATTTGAAAAAACAGATTTTAACATTTTTAAAGCTTTTCAACAAATTAAGCTAAGAAATAAATACAGTGTGAATATAATATAAATAAATAATATTACTATTATTAACATTATTAATATTATGAATAACAATTAAGGAGTAAAAAGTTTTTAATTAAATTCTAAAGTTTCGAATTTTAAATTTTGTTTTTAAAAAATTTTTTAAAATATAAAAATAATATACATATATATATATATATATATATATATATATATATATATATATATATATATATATAATAATAATAATAATAATAATAATAATAAAAGGCTTAAGCACTAATATTCCATGGTCATAATTTATTCCATTGGAATCAATAAATACGATCCAATTCATCAGACCTACAAATTCAAAAAGAAAACAAAAAAAAAACCCTCTCTTTAGCTCTAACATTCGTCCCCCCCCTCATACTTACACTCTCTCTAAATTCTATTTTTTATTTCCAGAGAAATTTTTTTTCTGTTTTCTTTTTGAATTTGTAGGTCTGATGAATTGGATCGTATTTACAATGCCAATGGAATAAATTATAACCATGGAATATTAGTGTTTAAGCCTTTTTATTATATCCTTACTCTGTCCTGGACATTGAGTTCTACCTGGATTCTATCCTCTTGGAATTTTTTATTCAAAAATTATATATGTATGTGTATGCATCTATGTATATATATTTATATATTTTGCATATGTATGTGTATATTTACCACAAATATTATCTATATATATATATATATAACTATGAACCTAAAGAGCCAGACAAACCTAACTAGGTTTCACCTACGCAGATCGTCAGTGTACCCTGACGATCCATTTAGGTGAAACGTAGAAACGTTAAATTTTCCTTTTCTTTTTGCCGTGCGACAATAGCCTAGGTGTAGGATCGCTGACTGATGTCAAATTGGTCGGATTCCGATCTTGCTTGAAGCAGTCGGACGTCTAGTCACACTGAAGAGCTGTGATAAAACGAAACAGCCTGTCATGTAGATGACAATACATATGCTTCCAGGAAATCCGGTTGAGCTCTCGAGAGAAAGGAGTTTTAAAAACAGCTACTGCTACTAATGCATAAGTACGAATTGAGTTCTCCGGGCCGCTGGCGTATTTTGTAGGGTAGGATCTCTGACATGTCAAATCGGTCGGGTTTCAATACCGGCTTGAAGCAATGAAGCTGAAAAGCGAAACTGTTTGTCTGTGGATGACAATATATATATATATATATATATATATATATATATATATATATATATATATATATATATATATATATATATATATATATAAAAGGAAATTAGGAAAACTGTAATATTTATTTAATTTATCAAAACAAAGTAACTATTAATAACAAAATTGTTATTAAGAGTTACATTGTTTTAATAAATTCGTTTTGTTTTTTTGCCTTGAAAAAGTCTACATTGGACGAAACGCATCGGCAAATAGTTTTCCTATTGTCTTTTACCTTTATAAATATTGTCATTTTCTACAGGTTAACTCTGAGAAATTTTTCATCTATATATATATATATATATATATATATATATATATATGTATTAGTGTGTATATATATATATAGATATATATATATATATATATATATATATATATAAAAAGAAAGAACAGTAAGATATATAATCCGGTGTTCTTATAGATATTTTTATTTTTACAAAATAGTGCTCAATGTAAATTTACAGAACATTAATATTATAAATTAATTGATTTAAAATATGGATTTTTCGCTACACAGTTCTAACCATGTTTCAAAAATGGAAGCTAAAAACCCCAAATTTAATTTTGTAATTAAATTAAAGACATTAGTTTTTAAAGACTTTTAAAATTACTGGGTTTTAAAAGTTACTCCAAAATTCGCTTGAGGATGAAATGGAACTAATGTCTTTAATTTAATTGCAAAATTAAATTCGTAGCTTTTAGCTTCCATTTTTGAAATATGGTTAGAACTGTGTAGCGGAAAAAAACATATTTTAAATCAATTAATTTATAATATTAATGTTCTGTAAATTTACCTCGAGCACTATTTTGTAAAAATAAAATACCTATAAGAACACCGGATTATATATCTTACTGTTCTTTATATATATATATATATATATATATATATATATATAACGGCAAAAATACACACGTATAGTAAGTCTGATCCGTCCGACAAGGTCTAAATGGCAGCCGATGTACAGAACGACCTCCAGTGCATTGTTAACTGGGGCAAAAGATTGCTTGTTGATACGTACATGCATATATATATATATATATTCCTTTATATATATATATATATATATATATATATATATTCCTTTTTTGAATTTTTCCTTCCTCTATCTATATTTGTTATATCTTTTTTGTGCGTCTTCAATATATATGTAACTATGCTTATGGGAATTTGGTTTATTTATTTCAATTATTTATTGCCCTTGCTTGTTTATATATATATATATATATATATATATATATATATATATATATATATATATATATATAGATTATTTTATTTTTTTTAAGTATTGCTTTTATTTTTGTTCACTTTCCCTGGTTATAAGGTTTGGTATTTGAAATAAAATTCCTTTACTTTAGGTTAAGTTATGGATTATTAGCTGTTAATTTTTAAGTCACTTGCAACATCATAGCAGGATATTTTTCCTTCCCGATAACATTAGTTTTCAACTTGATATCTATGCTGATGACACAAACATTTACCACTGTCTCGATAGTAAGGCTGATCCGTCCGACAAGGTCAAAATGGCAGCCGATGTAGAAAACTACCTCCAGTCCATTGTTAACTGGGGCAAAAGATGGCCTGTTAATTTTAACGCCTTCAAAACTAAACTTCTCTGTATTAATCATCTGAGAGACCCCTCTCTGCCTTCGATCAGGAAAGTGACTTGTTATGCCTTCTTGGGCTAACATTCTCAGCTGACATGAAGTGAAAAGCCTATATTGAATCCATTGCTAGGTAAGCTGCTAAGAAAGTTGGTTCACTGTTTCGTGCGAGGTAATTTTTCTCTCCAGAATCTATCTTGCATATCTATGTCTACAATTAATCCATGCTTAGAATATTGCTGCCACATATCGTCCAGTGCCCCTGCTATTTGCCTTGAGCTCCTCGATAAGATCTAAAGAACAATCAGCAACATTGTTTGCCGTGATCTGGTGACCCTGCTTCAGTCACTTCCCCACCGCTGTAAAGTTGCTTCTCTGTGTCTTTTTTATAAATACTTTCATGGTAATTGTTCGGGTAAACTCTTCATTATGGTACCTAGACGTTTTGAATTTAAGCGCAGTATTAGACTGGCATCGAGATCTTGCCAATATACAGTTGAGCTGTTCTATGCTAACAATTTATTTTCTTGCATTCTTGCTTGTGGAACTAAAAATTTAAATGCAATGACAATCACTATCCGCTATCCTCCTGATTACTCCTTCCCCATCCTCGTCATTATTAATGTTTCGGTTCCTAATTCTTCCACACTCTGTTACCCCTTGTGTCTTAGTGACTTTACTACCTTGACTTTACTACTGATTAAAAAATAGCTTCTACTGAACAGCTTCTAGAATAATTTGAAACAATCATTACCGTCCTCCCAATAACCATTAGGATAATACAACACACCTCACTACTCGTAATACACCATTGACCAGCATATATAAATAGTCAAGCTAAAACCAACGCACATGATGTGAACAACCCGGGTTGTTCAGCAAATGTATTCCAAACGAATACTAATGCTGACTCCACCCTGTCTTATATAAGTAGATACATGCTATCCAATCCAGGTTTCCAACTCCAAGTTGGTTGACCCTCAGCATCCTACTGATAAGTAAATTGATAAGTAACAGAACTTCTTTGCAAGTAGAGCAAACTATCCTTAGCGAAAGATGCGAACACCAGAATAGTATCAAAGACAAAACGAATGCCTGGAAGCCACACATACCGACACGCTATAGGCAGGTGTCTGACTACTCCTACCCAACCATGGTATTTATAAATAAACTGTACAAAGACAAAAATAATTTGTTCCTATATATATATATATATATATATATATATACCATACTTATATATATATATATATATATATATATATATATATATATATATATATATTCGAATTCCAGTCTAATCCATTACATTTCACTTACGTGCTAATACCCTTGGGAAAGGTATGAATCCTCTTCTTCTCCTTCCAGCTATGGCTAAAATAGCAGGACAGACTGGGTTCTATAGCCTTGGATGGCAACTGGTCTAGGAGAAGAACAACTCTGAATTCAAAACCTGCTGAGGGTCGTTTGGGAACCTTGTGGCATTCGGTGCACCAGGTCTCTGTATTCGTCCCTTCAAAAAGTGTGGCTGGTCCTGCACGAGGCCTTCATCACGATAATCAAATCTCATGTGCCGGTGTCGGGCTATCGGTTTCCTGGAAACTGATCTGCTTGACCCTCATACGTCGAATTTGACGGGAGAGTCGACTATATATATATGAACCTATATTTTTTTTAGCTGGCAACTATATATTTAAATGCATAAATAATCGTGGCTTACGGACATATAAAGTTGAAACACCAGGTCTCGTGCGACCGCCCAAATTAAACAATGTTGAGCCTAGTTACTACCTAGATGGCTGGCCGCTTGGGAATACCAGGTACTGTAAACTTGGGTGTGCGGGTGGTGTATAGGATAACGACCCGGAATTGGAGATCAGAGATCTGAGTTTCAGTTCCAGTTGGATTTGTTTTATTCACTTGCATGTAAATCCCCTTGAGAAAGGTAGGAATCTACCTCTTGTCCCCCATCTATGGGTTAATTAGTAGGACTTATATGAGTAAATCATTATTATCTCAAAAAAATTTCTTACAATCTAAAAATACCTTCTGGCTTTAAATAACTTGCAAAAGGTTGATAAACCGTAAAAGAAAGAAGGAAATCTATCAATAAATGACCAATGACCAAGTGATTAATAATTACATACATTTATTTTTAACATGTAGGCTGTATCTGTCCTTGGTACTATATGTTTTGTAAGTAAAAATAAAGCAACCACATAAAAGTCGTCTGTTGAATAGTCGGATATGTCCCAGAGGTGTTGATAATGTTGATTTTTATATTTCTTCTCTAATCAGAAAATCATTAATTGCATTTTTATCTCTGCTTATTTCGGCTTTCTGTGCCCCGTTCAGGTTTTTATTCCCGCAAGGACTGGTTGATTCACTGGGACTTGTTCAAAAAACTGTCGACTTATTAAGATTAGGTCTTTTTTTCCTCATTGTTTTCGCTGGTGATGGGGCGGGGCATGTATTAGTATTTGTGGCTAAATAAAAGATAAATAAAGAAGTAAACAAGCAGAAATCAACAAATATTTAAATAAAAAAAATGAAGGAAGGTAGGTGCCACCAGTTACTGGTATGTTATTTTATTAGTTTAGATATCGTTTTTGCTATTATTATTATTATTATTCTCTCTTGGCAAAGTCATCTCATTATTTAGGAAGAATTCAGTAATACCTTGAAGGAATTTTCTCCGAATCTGTTGCAGAAAAATAAGATACATAATACTGAATCGAATTGAAGATGCTTTTAAAAAAAGGAGTTCTTATTATATACAATGAATGTCCAAGTCCTAACAGAAACAATTTTTTATTTTTACTCTCACTATAAAAGTTAAGAAGACCGCGTTAAAAAAAAAAAAAGAAAAAAAAAGCAAAGAAAGAGAATTCTGGAATTTTATAAATGCTGAACACCAGTTCAAGGTCATAACATTCAGAAATCACATAATTTAAAAGAAGTCAAATATGTATTTAAAAAGACATGGATATAAATGTTTAGTAAAGATTGTAAATACTGTATTTACTTGTTTTTAATACGCAGTTTTTAGCAATATATGTCAAAGAAGTCAAATATGTATTTTTTAAAAGTCACAGATATGACATAGGTGTTTAATAATTATATTAACTACCATATTTATTCATGTATAATACGCATTTTTTAGCAATATATTTCAAAGAAGTCAAAACTACTAATATGTAAAAAAAAGAATTTAAATAAAGGTATAATGCCAGTTTCGACGGATGAAATTTTAAAAAAAAACAAAAAAACATGAAGACTTTTTTTTTCAAAATCTCAGAAACACAAATATCAATAGAAATAAAAAAGAGAGTCAATAGATATCTTCATGGGTCATATGGGCGCACAATTCACGGATTAACACTGTTTTATTTAACCGCAGTGAGCCGAATTAGAAAAAAAAAAACCTTTGTGTTCTAAAACATTTATTAAGCTAAATCTACTTTATTATTAGATGTCTGAGATGAGTAATTGTCAATATTCTTGTATGATTTTGAACTGTTGTTCTGATATTGGTTTATATAGATGTCATTTGGTAAACCTCGGCGTGGTGTAATGGTTAGCAAGCTTGTCTTGCTAGATCAGTTACTACTGAAAAGTGAGTTCGATCCTCACTGCGTGCCCCATTCTCTCGGCCTTGTGCCACATCTGAGCTGCGCTTGGAAAATCGCTGTATAGATGGTATTATAGACACAGCGTTTTGACCAAGTACACTCTGGTTATCAAATGTAATATAATTATAAAAGGTTCCAAAAACACACTATTTTTGTTCCAACCAGAACAGACGTCCGCAGGCGCTGAAAAGTTTTTGGACCAAGCAAGAAGACCTTTTAAAAGATAATTCAGATGTTAGGTCAGATTTTTTGACCTGGGTCGGGTCGAGCTGAGAACTTTTCAACACTCCTCTTAATAGACAGAAAGTCTCTAGATTTTCTTGAAGCAGCATCGTTATTCTCAGGATTTGACTAAATACTTAGCTCTACTCCTGTGGCTCGAATAGTAACAGATATACCATCTTAAACTGTTTAAGATTCCTAAGTGGCTAGGGAACTGGTGGTTGATTTATGTTTGTCCTGTTTCTGATTTTGTGATCAAATTCCAATCTAAGTTTTTTTTATCATTATTAGAAATTATTATTCTTGAATTATATCGAACATTTGTTCTTATCTTAGTTGTTATAGATACAACGTTTCGACCAGTCAGCCTCTGTTCATCATCAGGTATCCAATCTCAGGACGTTAATGCTAACTCCTCATTTTGCTGGGTCAAAGAATAGGATTGATAATGCAAATATTGTACTTCACTTTAAAACTTCACAGACCTGAGGACTATTCAATGTTTTCCCTGTAACAGTTGAAATGGCTAAATGCAACCGTAAGTTCTATGCTAACATTTCTTAATTTAATTTCTGAGTTGAGTAATTGTCAATATTCTTTTATTATTTCGAACTATTATTCTGTATTGCTTGATATAGATATTATTATACACACAACGTTTCCACCAAGTACCCTCTGGTTATCAAATTGTTATATAGGAATAAAGTGTCACTGCTGACACTTGAGTTTGAACATAGATCGCCAGTGAGTAAACACAGGCGATCCCATTATTGAATGAAGTAGACCACATAACCATAGAGGAAACGCATATATGCAGGAAGCAGCTGACGACTAACGATCTCTATTTCTAGTCTATCCTCTATTACTATAAGGTCCGCTATTCTCTACTCTATTTCACTTTACTATTTCTCTTTTCGGATCCCTATTCGGTGGTTACTATTCGTGCGAGTATTATCGAGCAAGTACTATTAGTGCGAGTGCTATTCGAAGGAGTCTGACACCAGCATTGTTCAACGGCGTTACTATAGTTGTATCTGCGATTACAGAGTTTCTACTAAAACGAGCATTACAAAAGTGACAACGGGTATTTGTTGTCATCTCAAAAGTGGCAACGAGTGTTCGTTGACCTCACAAAACAAATGTAAAAAAAAATCTAAATCTAAAATGTTCCAAAAAACACACTATGTTTTCTGGAAGCTGGTGGATTAGATATAGGAGTTGGGTATACATATATTACTCTCATCTAATGGTCATGAGTTCAATCCCTGGATTAAGCAGTGAAGCATCAAAACGTAAATAGAAATACTAGAAAAGAAAAGGTCAATTGATAGATAAATTAATTTTAAACGAGCAATAACTGACACCACACGCACAAAATATCACAGAATCAACAGCTGTCCCATATCAACCAATCAACGGACACCTGATGAAGAAACAACGAAAGATCAAGGATTGAGCCCTAGAGAAATCCCGCGTTAATGTGAAATGATATAGAAGCGTGACCGTTCAAAACCACTTTCATTACGCGGTTTGTTAAGAATGATTGGATTAAGCCAAATATTCGGCCAGGGGCACCGTAGCCTTTGAGCTGGTGTAAAAAAAAAAAACAATCATACCAAGCAGCTTGAGATATCTAAAAACCACAGTCCGAGCTTCGCCATTTTTATCTAGAAAGAAAAAATCGCTAATAACCGTTAATACATTGGTGGTTGTCCTAGAGAAACGAAAACCATATTGTTTATCTGAAAAAAAGGCCTTGTGAAGTGAGATGCTCAACCAATTCTGTGTTGATTAGAACATCTAGTTCTTTGCCCAAAATAAGTAAAAGACTAATTCGAGGGATCAAAAGGTTCACCAGAGTTCTTAAAGACAGGAACTGCAGAATGGGATTTCAAAACAGGATGGAAAACAAGAAGCAGCAGGACATTTGTTGCAGTGTTTGGAGACATAAGTCGTCATTTCAAGAACACATTTCCTTGGGATAGAGACAGGGATATCGTCAAGTCACTATATCTTTGTGGGGATCTAGTTTGGGGATGGTAGCAGAAACCATGGGCGGAATTATGTGCATATCACTCACTAGAGACTCTGTTCTTGGAGGGAGGGGATCGGTCAAAGTTACCCCTGAACAGTGGAGGGTGGTGTTAGAAGAGAATTTCCAAGCATTTATCAATTACAACAACCACATATTCAAGCTTACATGACCTGATATTCCCAAGTTGTCACCTATCTAGGCACTAACCAGGCTTGTATGGGAACCGATGTTTCAATATGATATTGTTTACCATGTTTGTCGCAGTCTCTGAATATGGAATTCAGTGAAGTCCGTAATCTGTTCAATATCAGAGGTCGGCAGTGAAGATTCAGAGAAAGTAGCGGCTGTTAAGTAATTCTTTAAGTCTTCGATATCAGGTTGGCAGTTCAGAGAATTTGAGAGAAAAAAATGGCTGCCTTTATACACGTCGCATTGAATATTTTGAGCTTTCTGATTGGTTAACCCTTCTATTGGTGAACTATAAAATGAGCTCATTTAGGCTAGCTCACTAGTAAATATATGCCCAAAAAACTGCAACAGATATAACTGTAAATCCCTCAATATTGGAAAGAGCGATAAAAGTTACTGGAAAATTGTTTTAAGAGAAGATTTTATAAACTTTCCATCGCCAGTATTAGCTGCTCGGTCAATGAATGCCCAATGTTACCTTATTATATCTATTACCATAGATATAATATAAGTGTTTCTAATAATAGTATTTTGAAAAGGTAAGGAATAAAACCAATTTTTGGAAGCCATCAAAAAACTAAATTATCAAATGCTTCGGGGAAAAGCTGAAATTAATAGTTAAAAAAGAAGGCTTGACGACAGAAATGTTTATATATGATTATTGGGGCTGCCGATTAATGGAAATATTGACGTTATGGCGGTTCAATAATTAATAAAAAAAGTTGTTTCCTTCTTCGAGTCAAAAGTTTGG